GTAACTTAGCGATCAAGAGATTCCCAGTTAGGAAACGGATTTTCTCTTATCCATTTTACTAACTAAAAATATATCCTAAATCTGAGAGTCCTTAGCAATATACATTTTGCATTTGTGAAGGATTCTCACCTTTCTTACTCAACGGCCTCTAGGTCTTGAAGTCACAAGCCCGACCTCCTTACCTACTTTCCATAAGTCCTATCCAAATCGTAACCACGACCTCAACCTCGACGACCTACAAAGTCATGAGGTATCTCTTATATCCGATCTTCCTATGTCTCTCGACCTTTGAGTTGTCTGTGTTGTGTCAACTTGTACTCGGGCTGCCTACTTGAGGCTCCCTAACATGTGTATACACCCAAAGTGGATAAGCCCTCTTAAACCGTCCAAACTGAGCTAATCTATCTAGCCGGCTTACCGAGCAACTCTTGGTGCTACATCATCTAGCCCCTCATTCTTGAAAGAACTTTCTAGACTTGTTCGATAATTTGCTCTATGCGCATAACTAACGTGCCAGACTTTAATGCCTTAAAACGCGTAACCATGATCCCCGTGCCTATCAGAAACATCTTTACGAAACCCTTTCCACGCTCTCTTAATTTGCACCGTAGATCTATTTCCAAAATTAATGCTCATGATCCTCCGACCTTTGACATTTGTCAAATCCATTTCTCTTTGCCGATCCAGACCACCTAAACTATTTCTGATCTACGGCTCACCTACGACCTCGACCTTGCAATTCTTCTCTTCCCTATAAAAGCTGCGCAAATTTGTCCATATCGGTTTTTACCCTCTCGCACTTTAAAGGCCACCTCAACAGAAAATACTCCGATAATCTTATGAATTTTCCGGTGATTTTACATATGATTCTTATATCACATCTCTCGCAACCAAATGTCGAACTCCATGAGTAAGTACTTCTGAACTTTCCACCATTTTTTCTTCTTTTTATCATTATTATATTATTTTTTGTTATTTCGGACTGCCCATATTTTTCTTAACCTCATTCCATAAAACTCCAGCGACCATGTCAAAATCTATTAACACCTCTTCTTCAACCTCACAACCCAAAAGATGGCCTTCTTGAACCTTAGACCTCCCTATCTCCCACTGCCTCACCGATCAAGTCAACTATGGTCGCTAACAAAGAGGCCAAGGCCCCATCTCCTTTGGTGAAGATGGTCAAACCCGACCTATTAACCTCTTATTCGAATGATCCTATTTCCAATCTTATCCTTTGGGAGTGGGATTTTGGAATCCCTAAGGCCGAGGAATCATTTGACAAGCTCCCCTTAGGCTACTACTCTTTTTTTATTGACTTAAACTGAGGTCAGGCTAAAGTTTCCCCTTAGGGATGATCTGATAAAACTCAGTCAACTTTATCGCCTTCCCTTAAACCATTTTTTCCTGAACTCTATCCGTACCCTGGTCAGGTTCATCATGCTCAAGCTCAGCTTTGGAGGGTTGACCCTAACTTCTGCTTCTACTGCTCCTAGATGAAGCCCCAGAAAGGTTCTTACTACTTTTTCTGGTTGCAGTGGAGCCAGTTTCTTCGAGCATCACCTTTCCAAGGTCGCCCACTAGAAAACAAAATATTGTTTCATTAGACCTTCTTCTGGCACTTTTGATTTCTTTCACGAATGGGTTCTTCTTTCTTTCATTATGGGAGTCCCCATTAGTGGGACCTCCTGCGATCATCTAATCTTCTTTCTTAACCGGCACGTCGTTCTACTCGCCAGGACATATGCGCTTCTCCATTACCTCTCGGTTGTCCCCCTTTACTTTGTTCTTAAACACATATTCTTTGATATGTTCAGTTTGGATGAGCTGTTTGATCTCGTCCTTTGGTTCTCTACAAACGTTGGTCGAATGACCATAATCTTTATGATATCTGCAATATGTGTCACCTTATGACGGTGTGTAACCTCTCCTCTTCGGAATGGGTTAGGTCGGGAGAGAATTCCCATATCCCCTCGCTTCTCGAAGACCTCAAAATTCTCCTTTTGAGGCATGTACAGGGGCACGTAATTTTCCATACTTGTTTCCTTCCTTGGGGCGCTTTTTCAACCTCGCCTCTTAATTTGGGGACATATTGTCATTTGAACGGGGGTTTTCTTTTGCTCACTTGACCTTGGTCTTATCGTTTTGCAAGAAAGCTTCTTCCATGTTCATATACTTGTTGCTTCTTGCCAGGAGCTCGTCAAAAGAACTCGTTGGACTCTTTGCCAATGAGTCTCCGTATTTTCCCGATTGTAGACCTCGAGTTAGACCTCTT